AGCGGCGCCCAGGACGAGGAGCTGGAGCTCGGCCCCGCGGAGCTGCTGCAGCGGGACGTGCTGCTGTCGGAGCTGCGCGGCTGCCGGGTGCGGCTCCGCGGCAACCCCAACACGCTGCGGGTGCGCGACTGCCGCGGCTGCACCGTGCTCTGCGGGCCCGTGTCCACCTCCGTGCTGGTGGACGGCTGCAGCGACTGCCTGCTGGCGCTGGCCTGCCAGCAGCTCCGCACCCACCGCACCCGCGACTGCCGGGTCTACGTGCAAGTCACCAGCCGGGCCGTCATCGAGGCCTGCTCTGAGGTCTCCTTCGCCCCCTACTCCTGGAGCTACCCTGGTATCGAGCGAGATTTCGAGTCGTCTGGGCTGGACAAAAACAGTAACAACTGGAACCTGGTGGATGACTTTGACTGGTTGGCGACTGACAGACCTTCACCCAACTGGAGCCTGATCCCCGAGCAGGAAAGAATCACTTGCTGGGACTGACTGCGGAGGCAGCTCTGCTGTGCGAGAGATGCTCATGTAAACGCACTGATAAACTGTAAACTGTGGGACTTAATCCCCAATATGCCATTAAATGATTCCATTCGGTATTCAGATTTTGAATTATATATGGCTGAATTTCTTAAACGGAGAATACTAGTCAAATAGAGTTTGCTGTTCTTGCACAGGTTGCTGCTATAATCTGTATGTCTCACTGTGGGATTTGCCAATTTCTGAAGTACCTCATTGTGAGTTTTGACTTACAAAGGTGGGGCAAAGGCCACTGATACACAAACAGTAGTGTAACAGCCTCTGTTAGAGCTGTTTTCACTCACCCAGGCAGACACTGAATTGGCTGCAAGTAGTGCAAACTGCACTGGAATGAAAAGATCAAATACCAAATTTTCCATGTATTTGTGGCTCTTACGTTGCTGACGGCAGCACAGTGCTTCTTAGGGGGAGTGGAGAGCAGTACTGCTGTGAGGAAATAGGGCAGAAAAAGGTTCATTTAAAGGAAGAGTTTGTAACTTCACAGTGCAGCAGACTGAGATGCATCCTAGGCTATGATACAATGATGAGCCAGTTTCTGTTGATTCTGGTTAAATCCGTAAGTTGGCTTTAGGCTTTTATTTCAAGTGAGATAAGGCTGAAAGAAAAAGGTGTTCTAATAAATATCTCATGCTCTCCTAATATACTGATTACTTGAAATTAAGAGACCTCTGGAGTCTGTATAAATACTAAAGCCTCACAATCTGTAAGTGCTATGTGAAAGGATGCTGCTTCTATAAGAATCTTGGGGGCATCCAGCAAGTGCTGATGAACACTGGTTGGTGAGACTGGGTTATCTGTTCCTCTGCAAGCTGAAGCTTCAGGGGAGAGGTGTTCAGGGATGTCCCACTGGTTTTCCAGACAACGGGCTTCGTGTGCTGTGATCCTAATTTGCAGCACTCTGCTGCTGCTTAAGTGCAGTGTTGATGGAGAGAGTCAGTAAAACTGAAAGATGAGGTACTATATTCCAATTCCAAATTTGCATGTTATCTTGCATAAAGTGCAGAATAATTTAAGTCTCTTCACTCCTGCTAAATAATAATAAAAAAGTAGCAGCACTGTAGAATGAAGTATCTTTACAGTGCCCTACAGTGGTGCTGAAGTGACCACTGTCCATATATAAGGTATACATAGCAGTTTTATGTTTCTAAAACCCCTCCTTAACTTGTGACATTTTTCAATAAATAATTGTTTATCTTGCCTTAGCATAAAGCTTTATTTTAAAACTTCAAATTGTTTATGCTGTGTAGCCATCATCTATGTGCCTCTAACAGACACCAAATCCTAGCTGAACCATCAAAAACTGCACCACTGCCAGAAGTACCTGAAACTTCACTTAGGTGCTTGACAGGTTTTGAGCAGAAAATGTTTTTCTGTAAGTTGTTTTCAGCGTATTTAATTTAAAGGTGGGGGGCAAAAGGGAATTTTTTTTTTATATTCCTGACAACTTTGAGTTTTGTTTACTTCTTTTAATGTATATTTTTTGACTGAATTGGATTTTGCATTTCAAATACATTTGTTTTGAATTATTTCAGTTGTTCCTTTAGTTATTACTACTGTCTTCTTTGCACTGACAGTGTCATAAAATGATTTAAAGAATACACCCTCAGTCTTACTTTAATGTACATAATTTACATCCTTTGTTAGAGGGATGTGATCAGTTGAGGCTCTCAAGTATTTTAATTTTAACACATCCTTCTTTGTACAGGACCTGATTTCATAGTTCTCACTGTAGTTTCATTGTTCTCCACAGATCCTGGTACTGACAGATCAATCCTGTTAGCATCCTCTACCCTTGAGATTGAAAAATGTCCAGTCAGTAAGAACTACAGTAATGCCTTTGTTCTACTTGCCCAAAGCTCTATAAACATTTACACCTCCTTCCTGTGGCATTGGATCCCAGCAGATCCAGACAGGGAGAGAGACCCCAGGCTGTGGCAGGTACCAGGGGTGCACTGACGCTTCCCAGCACACTTCACATGGAAGTGCCATGTCCTGTTCCAGCTCTTGGCCCATGGCATGCAGTACTGCCTGAATAAACAGAACAGCAGTCAAAACATGGAAGTTTGAACTTCAACTTCTCCCTGAAATTACTTCCTTGGGGATGTTTTTCACAAATCAGTTATTGACATCCCAGCTCCTAATGTTTTCTTTGCTCCAAATACTTAACTTTGGTCAAACCATAGTTAGCAGGTAATACTCTTCAGGATCATGGTGCCAGACATTTGCCCTAAAGTGTTACCTTTGTATTGCCTTTGTACTACAAAACACAGAACTGGCGCTTGGTCTCAGGCATGGCATGAAACAAATTCAATTTGAGAACAGCAAGTCCAGAAAAATTTGTTCAGGCAAATACCTAAATGTGATTTATAATTCTAAATGTACAGTTTTTTAAATATATATACACACACAGTTGCACGTTTCCATACACCTTTTTAAAATTATACTTTCCTGATGTAGAATCATAACAGAAATTCAAGACTATTTTGAAACAGAAGTCTGTTAGTGTTGTATGAGAACTTAAGCACTAGTAAAGGTTTGCTAGCACATTCATGGGCTATTCAGTATAGAAATTGCAGCATTTTTGGGTTTCTAAGGAAGAGAAGCCAAACCTCTAAGTATTTCTAATCAGCTAACAATCACCCTGCAAAATGTACATCTGAAGTGAGTGAAGTCTCTTCAAGAGCTCTAGCTCTGGTTTGCATTTACAGTGCCACCAGTTCCACCAGGAACTTCTTTAAAAATCATGTACTTTAAAGAAATTAAGGGGCTGAAAAACAAATGTCTGCTGGAGGCACAGGATAACAGAATATCAGCACCACAAGCCTTGTGCAAATTTGGCCTGAAGAGAAGCTAACAGGCAAAAAGTTTATAAAAATAGTGGGGGGCACTGAGCTGCAGAACCATTTTCCACAGGGAATCAGGAAAGGAGTCCTGCTGCAAACATTTTTGAAAGCCTCATTGGACAGCTCTCCTCCAGCAAGTGGCCTCACCAAAATCTTTAAAGCCAATGAAGCTTCCTGGGATGTTACTCAGTGTTTTAATGCTCCTGTGTGTGTCTGTGGAGGAGATAAAACAGTTATATGCAAAGATACACAACACTAAGTCCATGGGAGAAAACTGAAGCCATTTTCCAGGCCACACAGAGCTTTGAGCTCTGCATCTTTGAGCTTTGAACATTGCCATTTGTTGAGGCACTGAGGGATGCCACAGACCAAAACTTGCCTCCAGAGAAGCAGCCAGGAGCTTTGCTGCTGCTTCCCATGGGGCCATCCCCTCACCCAGAGGTCTACCCTGAGAGGGATAAACCCCCTCGGTTCCCTTTGTCATCCAGGCATTTCCCTCTGTCTGCCCCTGCTTCTCTGAGTAACAGCAACAGAAAATGGAGTTACTTGTATTCACTCTTTATCCAGCCCTCTTTCCTTTAAATAGATTCTGATGTGAGCTGTAGTAAAATTGTTTTGTGAAAAAAAACCAGGTACAAAATACATGTATAAGACAATTTCCTACATGCTTTTATGCATTATATTTTTGAAAGCTTGGCATTTTTTTTCTAAGTCTCTTATTTAAACAATAGCTGCATGTAGACAAGGTTCAAATCTCAGTGGTTTTATCTGGAGTTTCTTCAGGTTTTACTAAACAGCCAATTTCACCACATACAAGGAAAGACAGGAATAGCAAGAAAAAGAATCCATGCAACTTGGGGAAATTTCAGTATTTCCATTCACATCCTGATCTGATTTATCTGACTGACTGGGGAATCCAACTGTTGTGCTGAGATGTTTTCCAGCATTAATGACAAGCATGAGCTTTTTGTAAGCTTCTTTTCATTTCCAACATATTTCTTTCCTGTTTCGGCAAATATAAATTTTTATTTCTAACTTTTTTTTTCAGCAGTGAATGCTATGCCCCAGACATCACAATAACACAAACAAATATTCATAATGACCATCTTGGAGGTAAAAAAAAAAAAAAAGCTGTGTTTTCTGAACATGTTATACACCACCACATGAATGATGGCTGAAATTTTGGGAATTACCCAGAGCAAAACCACACCAAAACCCCCACAGTGTGCCCCAGCAAAGTGCAGGAACCACAGCAGGTCAAATCACCCTTCCCAGGATTTACAACAATCCCAGCAGTGAATTTAGAACTCATCTCTGTTTCCAGCCTCAGAACCTGCAATCACCTCACATGCCACAAAAACAGGAGCCTACTAAGTGTAAGGAGGTAAAAAAAAAAGTCATAAATCAGACTTCTCTCCACCTGATAATCGTACAGTGAGGTACAGCATCTTTATCACATTGTTCCTCCGGAGTGTCCCTGTTCACACCACAGAGTTACAATTCAAAGCAAAACTGTAAGTGAGGCTACATGAGCAAACCTCTCTACACAATAGCTTCCCATCAAAGGTGGAACCAGACATCATTATTCTTGCAGTGAAATATAACCGCTCCTAGGGAAAGGAAAGAAAAAAATAGCCTTGGAAAGGCACACATTTCATATCACAAAGCACTGTGAAAGAAAGATTGGGCCAGGAAATTATTCTTTTTACCAACTGAGGGCACTTCCATAGTTTAGGCATATATGTATTTCATGTCTTATATCCCTGAAGATGGAAAGATTAAGATTGGTCCAGGGCTGAGCACCAGACTGTTTAACAAATACCAGATTAAATTGTTTACACTCCTCTCTCTTAACTGATAAACTTGTAGCTTACATGTAGGTTAGCAAGCATAGCTTTTTGGAAAGGTATCAATATTGTATATACTACACATTATAATTTTTAACTAGATTTTGAATTTAAGCAGATTCACGATGAGATCAATAATAATTTGAATATTTTATTCTACCATTTTTTCTGCAATATTGGCATATGAATTATACATTAGAATTTAATAGACAACCTCTGAAGAGACCATTAACTCAAACATTCTTGCATCAATTAGCTTTTATCTGCTATGGGTCAATATCAGCATTTTCTATTTGAAGTAGAAAGCGGTAGTAAGTGCCAAACTAAAGATGAATCCCAGCCAAGAAAAAGTTTTTTAAGAAAAGCAGATGCCAGGCAAAAAGAGTTTTCTTTTTTAAACTGTCCACACCCCAAAACACTTCTCGTTGATCCCCCGTCATCTTCCTTTAGGCTGCTCTTCTAGGGACAGCCCTTGGCTGCCCGGTTTGTGCCGATGCTTTCCCAGGGTTTGTCACCTCCATGTCTGGGCTAATGAGGAAACACCCATTCCCACTTTTCCCTTTTAAAACTCCCAAGCATGGCGAATCAAGTTGATGGGTGGAGAAGTTTTTTCCACTTTATGTCCCTCTCTGGTATTGAGCTATTGAGAACTACTTAAATAAACAGCACTTTTCCTAATCCAGGTTGTTTTGGTAGTGCTGATTGCTCTCACTGATGATTTTAGAGGTCCTACTCTAAGTCTCAAAGGTCTAATTAGTAGGTGAGTGTCCCTTTCTGAACTTCAGGATTTTTACTGATCATCTCCCAGCTAACACTAGCAATTTAGCAGTGATTTATGTGCACCTCTCCCTTTTCCTTTGTACGGGTATCTAAATGTTAAATTATTACGCTGACAAGTATTCAGATTCATCTATTCATCTGTGCTCTTGAATACGAAATTACCCTTGTCCAGAGTAGTACCAGGCTTACATCAGCTGTGGGCAGGAAGTATTTCACTGTATATCCTCATGACCTGCAGACCTGATACAGAATTCTTTTCCGCTTTAATTACAGTTTCACTGTCATCACTGACAAGAAAGGAAATGATTTCAAGTTCCTTTATCTAGAATTAACTCCAGGCTGTCAGATAAATACGCTGAGCCTTGAAAGAGACAGTGAAACACATGTGCTGCACTGGTTGTGGGATATTTTGCCAGGAGAGATGCTATTTCAGCACCACGACTTATTGCACAAAAACATGAATAGGCTCTCTCAAGAAGCAGCACTTCTCATCCACTTAAAGGCAAGAGGGAAGAATAGCCCCTGATGGGTAATCACCTTCCCTCTCTCGTCTTATACACTCTCTCTTCACCGGCAAGGGCAGCAGCAGTGAAACAACCAGGTTTGCTTTAGAAAAATCCCAGTTACCGGCTGCTCTCCAGCTCACTGCAATAGCACCAGGATGGGCTGGGAAAGGTCCACCACAAAAACCTGCTATTAGGACAGGAAGAAGTAGTTAGTTGCCTTTGTCCTTCCTGAAGGAACCTTCAGCGTTCCAGGATCTCAAATGGTAACTGAGAAGCATCCAAGTTTCCACAGAGCTGCAGACGAACAAAATGCTGTTTTTCAGTGCTTGGGCTTTTAAATTATTGTCGTTATTATTTTTCACACTTGCCCTCTTCCTAGCAGGTCCCTTTCCCTCTCTGTCCGGGAGGGCTGGTGGCCATGCTGTTGGCAGCCACTAGAGGATGCCCCCAGGGACTTGGGTGGTGGCAGCAGCAGGTCTGGTTGACAGGCAAGAGAGAATCCTCCCAGTTCCTCTTCTAGAGCTGCTCCTTTCTCCCCTGCAGCGTTAGT